CCCCCTTGTCCTCGTCTCCCTCGTGTTCTTCTCTCTGATTTCCATTTCCCAAACTGTCTGCCTTTCTCCCACCATCTCCACAACTCCCTTCTCTCTATTGCTATTGTAATGATGATGATAATGATATGATGATCAAACACTTTTCTTCTTCCTTCCTCCTTCCTCTTTCATTCTTCCTCCCTCCTCGTCCTCCTCCTCCTGCAGAGTGGATGGGTGTATCAATCGATCGATCGATCGATCGAGAGAGAGAGAGAGAGAGAGAGAGAGAGAGAGAGAGAGAGAAAATCTGCGAGCTAACGAGCTGAGTAGAGGGTGCTTGTGTCTGTATGTTGTATCTGCTAAAGAAAGGGTGACTTTGACACTCTTTCGAATCAATCAATCAATCAATCAATCAATCAATCAATCAATCAAGAGAGTCTGCGAGCTACCGAGCTGAGTAGAGGGTGCTTGTGTTTGTATGTTGTATCTGCTAAAGAAAGGGTGACTTTGACACTCTTTCATCCGACTTTTGCCGATTCATCAGGAAGTTGACATACTAAGTCTCGCGCGCGACGCCTATCCGATTTCCGCATCGGAGAGTTATGGGATGGCTACTAAGGGACTAGGAGTGTTGTTGCGTTGTTTGTTCCGTGTCGTTCTGTATAGGTGGATAAGGACTGCATCTCAGTCATGGATAAGGACTGTCCACTTTGCCAACAGTTAACCATATCCTCACACAGAGAGAGAGAGAGAGAGAGAGAGAGAGAGAGAGAGAGAGAGAGAGAGAGAGAGAGAGAGAGAGAGAGAGAGAGAGAGTAGAATGTGCGAATGCAAAGTGTCTTCAAATCAACTTCAACTTGCACGGAGGAGATGATGTCGATCTCGGTATTTTTTTTGTCCCCCTGCCTCTCTCATAGCTATGTCTTCCGTAAGTGGATCCCGTTCGGAGGAAACTCAACAGTCCTCCCGCGTGCTCCTATGTGGCACTTGGAGCATACTCGTTGCAGGACTTCCATAAATGAATCTGACAGCATTTACGGCTACATTCACTCCAACAAGTACTGCGAGTACCGCCTCGCTGACCTTTGTGCTTGAACTTACCAATCGCTCTGCAACTCTTTTTGGATTGAATGTATCTAACTGCATTTACCGGTACATTCAGTCCAACAAGCCCTACTGTGCATCACTTCACCGACAAGCAAACTATGTAGCCAGCTGCTGCCATTTTCAGCCTTTTTTTTTTTTTTTCCCTTTTGATTTTTGAATTCATAGTTTTTTTGCTGATATTTCTGACTCCCTTGCTTACCACGTTTGTTCCTCTCTCTTGTTTGTGCAGGAGCTAATCTCATCTTCGGTATATCATATCCAATTATTGATTATAGTAATAATGTGATGATGATGATGATGATGATGATGATGATGATGAACTCAAGGACAAACAGTCGATGATGATGATAATGCTGATGATGATGACGATGCCGATGATAATGAGTGATGATGATAGTTATGTTGATGACAATGACGATGATAATGATGATGGTGATAGTTATGTTGATGACGATGACGATGACAATGATGATGATGAACTCAAAGACAAACAGTCAATGATGACGATGACGACGACGACAACAACGATGATGATGATGATGATGATGATGATGATGATGATGAACTCAAAAGGGCAAAAAGTCAATGATGATGATAATGAACTCTAGGACACAGTCGATGATGATGATGATGGTGCTGATGATGACGCCGATGATGATGAAGGACAGGGAGCTGATGATGATGAAGGAGAAAGAGTTGTTGATGATCATGATGATAATAGTAATGATGACAAAATAATGATGAATCATTGATGATACTACTGCTGCTGCTGCTGCTGCTGGATTAGCCCGTGTTTTTTTCAATGGTTGATTCGGCTTTATAATCAATCGGTTCTGTAAGATGGGCAATGCTTTTTTTGATTACTATCAAGAATCATATGAATGCAAGGTTCTTTTTCAATATCTGCTGCAGTGATTTTGGGCGGCCTGCTTTGGACTGTCTTTCCAGTGCTGTGGAATTGCACCTCAGCACATCATCAGAGGTGTTGATGTCGAAAGTCTACGGCCGCGAGCGGTTAGTGTTGCTTGTTCTGTACTGCAGTGGAACGAGTCTTAATGATCTTTTTATTTATTTTTATTTGAGCTGTACATCTGTCAAAAACCATAGTGAATGGGATCATGCCCTCATTAGGTTGTTATCGTTTTTAAAAAAAATCTAAACTAATAGTAAAACGATGGACAATGCCCTTGGTTTTCTGTGTATGTGGCTATTTCTTTGTGGATTGTCTAAGTGCAGGTTGCTTCTGCTGATGCCAGTTCGCCGCAACACGGTGATTCTGTCCAGGGTTTCCAGTTTTCTGCATATGATCTCTCACTCGGGGACGACAGCCTTGTGTAAGCTTTTCTTGTCTTTTTTTTTGTTTTTTTTTTTGTTTTTGTTTTGAAAGCTAGGTAAACATAGTCGGATATCTGACGCACGGTTTTGGTCCTTCCGGATGAAACCCGGATGGATTTTCGGGGAGAAGCCTGGATAGAAATAAACTGATGTTATCTCCAGAGTCAAGACTGTCAACCTCTTTTTTTAAAATTTTTCAAAAAGTTTTTGAAGAACTGGATCCAGCCCAAAATAGGGCTGGATCCAGTTTTTTATTTTTTATTTTTCTTTTAAAACCACCAGCTCGCGCGAAGCTAAGTTGGGCTCTTTCGAGTCTTCGCCCGAATAGAATGCCCAGTCATTATTTCTGTGTTTGGGTAAACTTTTATTTAGTCCAATTAATGCAACGATAATGAGCGGGCCGTTCTATTCGGGGGAAGACGGAGGACGGTAGCAAGGTAGTGCGGCGCCTGCTATCACACACGCTGGAGAGGAACTTGCCATTGCCTTCACCCGAATATGACTTACGGTCATTAAAGAGCTGTATTTGGTGCAACTTTGTGGAAAATATAATGACTGTACGACGTACGTTGTCTTCACAACTGAACTGTTGCAGAAAGAATCAGAGAGTCGAACATCTCAAGCGTGAAACCCACTCTCAACAACAGCAGCAACAAAAAAAAAACAGTCTCAAAATAGAGCATCTTAGAATAGAAGACAGGATGTAAAAAAAAAAAAGAGAGAGAGAGAGAGAGAGAGAGAGAGAGAGAGAGAGAGAGAGAGAGAGAGAGAGAGAGAGAGAGAGAGAGAGNAAAAAAAAAAAAGAGAGAGAGAGAGAGAGAGAGAAAGAGAAAGAGAGAGAGAGAAAGAGAGAGAGAGAGAGAGAGAGAGAGAGAGAGAGAGAGAGAGAGAGAGAGAGAGAGAGAGGATGGAGAGGGAGGGGGAAAACCATGGATTGAAGAAAGGACAAAAACAGTTGTCGAATATTTTTTGCAACAATTGCATCTCAGGGTAGAAAGACTGGAGACTACTACCGGTCATGATTCGACCAAGTTGCGGAAACTTTATAAAACAAATGGTAGCAAGGTCATTTTGAATTGAAATAAAAACAGGACTGAAAAGTTAGTAAAAAAGAAAGAAAAAAAGACAGGATGCAGAGGGAGGGGGTAAACAAGGGATTGAAGAAAGGACAAAGAAAGTTGTCGAATATTTTATGATTTTTGGCAACAGTTCATGGAGGAGAGCGAGAAAGAAGAATGACAACAACTGTCTTTCTAAAAGGGCCCTTATGGTTCAGACCCGTTGTCGAGCGCATCGGCTCCCGCCTTTTCGCAAAGGCGAGAGCCCTCCCGACCATGTCACGCAGGAGTAAACCAAACCAAAATTAGAGACAACTCCGGAACGATGCTAAGTATCCCGTGAGCCGCTAAGACGGCCGCGGTCACATCGTGCCGTCGCCGCTCTAGCCGGGTGCGCCAACTGCACTTCCCGCGGTCCCCTACGACAGGATAGGTTCCCGCGGGGCATAAGCTTTCCTTCCCTAAGGGGCTGTCACCACCCTTAGGGGCGTATCCCTACCGAGCTACTGACCCACATGCGAAAGTTTTTTTCTGCAGTCGCAGAGGTAGGTCAACCGAGGGCGTTTGCTCGTTCGCTGTAGTATAGATACGCTTGGTTAATGCCAAGTGGACCCGAACGCCGTCCGTCCCTCAAGGCGCTGATCTCCCAAGTTCGGAACGTGCGTTGGTCGACTAGGACAGTCTCAACCAAGCGTGAAACCCTTAGATATAATCTTAGTCCCTTGACAACCATTCTGAAAACAAGCATAACAAAATCCGCATACCTTATATCAAAATTATCAGAGATCGGATCTTTGATTTGATGAGCCAGTCTGCCAATGTTATTTCTTTCTGCCTACGTGACTGAAGAGACATTCATACTGCCGTTCAAAGATGGGAAACTGTTAATTAACGAACAGACTAGGAAAGATTTTCCTATCGTGACTACTGAAACTTGTCATAAACAACTTCTGCAAGTAAATACCACTGCTACCATGCAGATCAACAAGTGATCTGGTTCCCGACCGACGTTTGAACTCTCAGTTCGACCACACCTCCACTATCATCTCCAATTTACTTCTGACAGCCCCTTAGGGAAGGAAAGCTTATGCCCCGTGGGAACCTATCCTGTCGTAGGGGATCGCGGGAAGTACACCTGGCGCACCCGGCTAGAGCGGCGACGGGACAATGTGACCGCGACTGTCTTAGCGGCTCGCGGGATGCTTAGCATCGTTCCAGAGTTGTCTCTGATTTTGGTTTGGTTTACTCTTGCGTGACATGGCCGGGAGGCTCTCGCCTTTGCGAAAAGGCGGGAGCCGATGCGCTCGACACCGTAAATGCGATCCCAACATAAAAGGGGCCGTGTCGCCCAGTACTCAATTTTACGAGCAACATTCTAAAGGAGAAGTTCCCTGAAGCGAATGTCGCATCCAGAGTGAGATGAAAAGTCGTTTTGAAAAGTCACAGTCAGGTCCTAAGAGAACAGGTACTGGGCTTAACTTTAAAGCTGAGACAGGGTCATGTCTGTTCGGCAATAAGTCAAAGGTCACAGTCCCAGATGAGTCACAGTCCCAAGGGTCAAATCTGATTTTGACCAGGAGTCCAAAAGACAGGCCCGTCGGCCAAAGCAGCAACAGACCATGGGAAAGGATACAGGGACACACACTTTGCAACAACAGGTACTGGGTTGGAGTCCCAGGCACTTGGAGGCTGGATGCAGGCCACGCCAGACCAGTCCAGCACTATAAAGGACTGGCCGGCCTCCCATTTGGACAGATACTCATTCACATGAGAGTGTGGAAGTGCTGAAGACACTTGTGCGCCAGATGTGATTGAGCTGCACCAGGCTTGAGAGCTGCGCTGAAGAGAGAGAGAGTTGAGCGCTGGCTGGAAGAAAAGAAGCCATAGCTCTGCGCCAGCGCCAGTTAGTATTAGCAGTAGGATAGTTAGTAGAGAAGACCAGTGAGTAGTATTCAGAGTAGATCCTCGTGTAATAGGGAGTGTGCAGGCATGGTGAGTACGAGTAGACCAGGGTTAAAGATATTGAGAGAGAGAGAAGTGAGATATGGTGGAATTTACCTGCTGAGCGCTGTTCTTGAAGATTGACTTCTGGCGCTGACGAGCGCCAGGCCTGAAACTCTTGTCGGATGAAGAAGACTTATAATATTGATGGGCGCTTTACATTCTGAGCTCGAGGTTCTCTTTCCTTAATCTGGTTGTGATAATTGAGTTGCGTTTCCTGGTTTCTACTCATCTTTCACTGAACTTTGTGTGGGACATTATAAATCTGTAAGATCTATATAACATGCATGTTGATTGATACACCCCAGCAAGTGACGAACAGACAGGTTCCTTGCATTTCGAAGAACATCTGTTAAAATTGGAGTGATACAGAGAAAGAAGGTGAGCATGGCCCCTGCACAAGGATGGCACACATGAATCGAGAAATGGTGTTTTTTTTTTTTTTTTTTTTGGGTGAAAAAGGAGTGCTAGAACAAGGTGTGAAGAAAGAATCGGCAAAATATCGACCTTCAGCGATGAGAGTTGGCACTCCAACAGAAAAAGGAGCAAGATTGAAAAGAAGAGCAGAAACAAAAGCTGTGCAATGACTTGCTGTTTTCTGGTCGCCTGTAGCCTCTCTCTGTCGAGGCTGTACTGTAGGTAGGATAGATTCGTAATTTTGTTTGGCTGAGGGCTAACCGAGAGACCTACCTGTGAGGAAATTCGTGAGGGACATATCTGTAAATTCGGGAAATATGCAGTCCCGGTACTAACCGAATTCCCTCCAGCTACCCTAACTGTGGATAGCAGGCCCGGGCTACCTCTAGGACGGACAGGCCCTAAGGGCCTATTCTGGTAGACGGTCCTATAGCCTATCGCCGGGTCCGGTAGAGGCCGAGAGGCCGAAACAGAAATGGTACGGGTCGGTCAGTCAGTCCGGTCTAGGTCGAGTCTAGGCTAGTGTAGTCTATAGATAGAATGGGCACATCGGTTCAGGGCTTTTGGCAGTTGGTACCGAGTACATCGCTGCTGCGCTACGCGTGAACCGGAAGTGGTGACGGCTCAGCGTGGAAGGAGACAGGCATAGCCAGACCTTCGGAGCGCCGGCCATAGCTGGGACCTGCGCTGTACTCTGCCAGCTTATAGGGGCTGACAGAGGTCTGGGTTATCGAGGTCTGCTGGAGGCGAGTGAGATTGCTGCCCTGCTGGACCCTCCTCCGGAGCGGGGTTCCAGGGTGGTGGCGCTGCAGCCATAGCTGCAGCTTCTTCCTCAGAGGTCATCTTGTCAGGGTTTGGTGGCGCTGCTGCAGACTTCCACCTGGGAAGTCTTCCGACACTTCGTCATTATCAGATACTGTGGTGCTGGTCTTCTTCTTCATCCTCTGAGTGGCGCTTGGCCTCAGAGGCCTGTTTCAGGGTGGCGCTGCCCTCAGGAGGCTGTATTTGGGTGGCGCTTGATGTTTCAGGGGCTCAGGGGGTTACGGGTGCTAATCAGGGTTGGGGAGTGAAGCGCTGCTCACTTCTGAGCAGCGCACTGAAGTACTGAAGTTATCCTGACAATTCGAGACTCTGAGCTTAATAAACAGTGTGTAACTGGGTTTGGACTATCATCGTTTCATTGTTTCCTGGATGTGATCTGCTCGGCTTTTCTCTATGACTGGTTGTGAGGATTGACTGGAGTGAATTGCACTATCAGTGTACCCTATCGTATCGTATGGTCAAGTCTTCCGCTGTGTTATCTCTCCCTGTGCGGTGTGATACTCCTATCCTCTCCCCTTCCTATCGTACACACACACACACACACACACACACACACACACACACACACACACACACACACACACACACACACACACACACACACAGGCTACAGACGGTTACAGGGGGTGAATTAGGCCATACCTATCCAGCCTGTGCACCTCTCTCTCTCTCTCTTTGTCTGTCTGTGTCTCTGTCTGTCAGTCTCTGTTTCTGTCTGTTTCTACGTGTCTGTCTGTCTGTCTCTCTCTCTCTGTCTCTCTTTGTCTCTCTTTGTCTCTCTTTGTCTCTCTTTGTCTCTCT